CCTTATGCAATAAACAACAAAGTTATATACTTCATTATATGATACACGATGAAATTAATTAATTCACTGTATGATAAACAACAAAATGATTTTAACTTATGCGATAATTAAATTACCGACAGCGCTCAGCAAAGGCCCGTTTGTTATTTTAGCGCCTGACTTTGGTGTTCTGCATCTTTACTGTTGTGTGAGGACTAGTAATTTCTGAATGTATATGATACCACGACAAAATGAACATGGTTACTGCGGCTTACAAAGCGTCGAATAAGGCGATTTATTTATTTATAAACTAAGTAAAGTTTTAGTATATTTTTCTTTCTTTCCTGTTTTCATTTGTGGGCGTGAGGAAGCTAATATTGGATACTTTGTAAAGAATTATTCTAACATGCACTGTCACGTGATAACATTATTTTAGGCATTGTTTCAAAGAATTAATCTTCCTTAAGCTTCTTTCTTTGATAATAACGACCAAGCCATCTTGCAGGATTAAAAGGAATTATCGCCCAAGCGTCTTTCATTTATCAAAGCAAGCCAATGATTTATAGGGCTCCAAAACAAAGGAAAATTTACCAATTTTTAGTTTGTTTTTTTAAACCAAAGAGACCAGCGAAGACCATTATGCAAAGAGATAAAGTCAAAGTTGTAAATTTTTGATCAATTTGAAATACCCTAGACATGAAAACAAAAGTTCTAAAGCAATAAATCATTGAGTCACAAAGTTCCTTATTAATGTTTGGTTTGATACTGCACGCTAATAATAGCAAAATACTGTTCAAGAATTTTCAATATGCTTTTATTTTATTTATTTATTAGGTTTTGTACGTAAAGCAAGCGACTAGAGATGATGTTATTATGTGATATATATATATATTTAATAGTTATATTATAATGAAATACAGCGTGATAAATGTATGTGTAAAACTAAGTTTTGACAACGCATAGTGTTTTTGAGAACGAAGAAATACATACGTTTGCTTTTCCAATTCCCACAATTCCTGGCTATCAGATATCCATGGACTGGAAGGTTCTGGTGTGGTGAGAAACGGATCGTATTCTTGATATTGTTCATAATAGTTAATGTACCTGTGTTTGAGAATTAATTAAATGTGATTAAATTAGTTTTCAGTTAACAAGTAAACAGCGAAGTTGGATTATAAGACTAATTATAAATATTCAACCAACCAATCAAACAGATGCAATTCAATGTTAATGAACTGTTTGTAGTGCATTCTTAAAATCTAGAAATCGAATATTTTGTAAAAGTATATATATTAACTAAAATATTATAAATTAAAAATTAAGTTTTATAACACCTGGACATAAAATTAAACATAATACAATGGAGCCTAAAAAGAAAAAACTGATTAGCAACGAAAACACAATCGAAAATTTTGTATTAAAAGTCTAAAATAAAATTATATATGATTAGTGTGTTTTGGTGATTAAAACTGAACTCAAAAGCAATGCTAATCAAACACACACACACAAAACATTTTTGTTATATTTAAGCACTGATATCTTTCGCTCTTTTATGTATAGAGAAAGAATCACACAGTTAGGTTAACGTATAACAATGAAATAATTAAGAATTAACAGCTGTAAGAACATAAACAACATGTATTACAAAAAACCCCTTTTTTTCGAACATAAAGTCTTCCAAAGAGCGTCTTTTACTTCTCTTTAGTAATCAAATATTTTTTCTTCGACAAAAATATATAACTGTTATATAATTATCATTTTTAGATAAAAGTAACGAAAAGAACACGTATACACTCCACAAACCACAAGTATTCTCCCTTTATACTTACGTACAATGTCTTTATCAGTAGAGCAACAACAAAATTTACCGGAATTCAAAAAGAATTTTACTCATTGGAAAAATATATTTTGTAATTTACAAAAAACAATCACACAGATATCACACCAATGAGCCTAAACCATTTATTTAATTTAAGCGTTTTCGCGTTGAGTATTTTTGGTTTTATATGCTGTACATCTAGAGAAAATTACGTTCTTCAAGTGTAAAAATCTTTCAAGTAGTAAACTCGGTTTTACCAAGATCTGCACAATCATGACATTACTTATTATTTAAAACTAAATATCAAGACATCACACAAAACCGTTGTTTGTTGTAGATAGAAAGGTGCAAAAATGGAAAAGCAAATTGAGGAACAGAGAAAAAAAAATCGGAAAAGAAGTCCTTGAACATCAAAAGAGAGTGAGAAACAGTAGTTAGAGCAATGAAAAGTTTTTTTCGCAAATAATCTCTCTTAAACTCTTTGAACTGATTAGTTAGATAAGACTGCCTAATTATAAAATGTAAAATATTAAAGTTGGATTGACATTATTTAGTTAATAACATTGACATGACCATTTCAGCTTACAACGCTAAAGATCGGGTTTCAATACGTGCGGCGGGAAGAGCACAGACACCCTATTGTGTAGCTTTAAGTTTAATAACAAACAAACAAACCTAGTTGTGAAATAAAATAGAGGACCATTGGGTTGGATGTTTAGTTATTATTGCAGCTTATAACCAAAACATTTGCGGGGAAGAGGATCTGAACCAGTATTTAATGTTCATCATTTTGACTCATAACGATAAAGTATAAATAAGTAAAGTAATGGCATTTCTAATAGTGTACAGAGTATGAAATAGTTACGGGCGTTCTGTGTATGTTGTTTTTTGTTTTGTTTTTGAATTTCGCGCAAAGCTACACGAGGGATATCTGCGCTAGTCGTACATAATTTAGCAATGTGAGACAAGAGGGAAGGCAGCTAGTCATCACCACCCACCGCCACACTTGGGCTACTCTTTTACCAACGAATAGTGGGATTGACCGTCACATTATAGCACCCTCACGGCTGAAAGAGCGAGCATGTTCGGTAGAAGGGGGATTCAAACCCGACACCCTCAGATTGCGAATCGAGTGCCCTAACCACCTGCCCATGCCGGGCCAATTTAGTAGGTTTTGATCGCACAGAACCCAAAGGATTTTAAACAACAAGACCGTAAGTGACATGATACCGTAAAAATTTTAAAGTTTAACAGTATTTTAATGATAAAGTGTGAACTTAATTTCGTTTGTTTTGCGAAGGCTAGAAACGAATACGTGGAACAGAAAATTCGTAACTTATATTTGTCGTATATACAATAGAACGTTTTAAATTTAAATCAGTGTTTAATGCACATATTTGACTCGGAGTTATTTCAGGCGCGTCATTTCAGCAGCATCTATTACAATACTCAGTTTTCGTCTGTCCTCAAAATGTGCGCGCACCTTAATATCTAAATGTGCATGCGCGCGCGCTTAATTTTAAAGTACGTAAACAGATAGCGGATGTAAATATACTTTAGTAAACGTTTTGTACAACAACGTATTAAAAGCTTATCAAAGTTTTTAAAAAGGTTTTATGTTAGGTCGTAGAATAACATTATAAGTTTATTTATAGTTAGTAATATTTAGTAGGGTAAAGTTTAACCCTAACTAAACTGAAGCAAAATAACGACACATATTACAGCGTTCATTTATCTCTTTATAGAATATAGGCCATAATTAATAAAGACTTAATTAATGTTAGGCCTAAGCCAAGTGGACAAGTACTGTATTTAAAGAAGTACAGTTGCAATAAATATACTTATCTGACCGCCAATGTTTTGCGGATCTCTACTCTCGAAATATTCGCAGACATATTTTTTTATCTGATCTGGATTTTTAATATAGTTTCACCGCTATTCGGAATTATGTGTAGTTTCCGTTAATTGCATCAAAAATCCCATGAAATTAGCAAAAAAATGAACTAACAATACTTGGAAATATTTAGACGATATCTTGTTATTGATAATGAGAGTTCAGCCATGTAATGTTTAAGAATATTTTTTTTTCATTAGGAATTTTAAAGAAAACAAGTTTACAGTGCTAAAATTAACAGCATGCACCTAAATACTTTATTTTACCCCAAAACTAGAGATGGCTAATATAAGCCCATTTTATATTTTCATAAACAAAATGTCAACAAAAATATGTACATTTAATATCACTCTACCAGCAGAGGGAGTAGTTTTCAAGTTCATTCAGATAATTTCAGATCGCTCTAGGATCAGGCTTGGTCAGTTGTTAGGTGCTCGGATTATGAATCTGAGGGTTCATAGTTTTCGCGCACGATCCGCACTTTGGCACCGGGTGGGCGTCTTCAAAGTTCGTGTGGCTTACATAAAAATCAATAACAACAGCTTTGTGCGAACATTATAAAAAAGAAAAAAGACAACAAATATTTGGTCATATTTTGCAACTTCTTTTCATTTAAGGAAATTAAATACTGAAAAACCTAACTGACTTACGATTCTGAAACCTTAGAAATTTTCACGTTTCTTCTGTCCAGACGACTCTTCAGAGTTATAATCTGAATTGAAAAAGAAAGATGAATGAAAAATAGTGTTAATTGAAACACGAGTTGAAACTTGTAAATTTTTATTAACGGTCAGAAGTTGGATTGTACAATTTGTTTATGTTTGTATTCAAAGTATTCTTGAGAATTACATTTCATTCGTGTCAGCAAATTTTCCAAACAAACATATTAAGAAAATAAGCCATCAATATTCTGGATCCAATAAAACATGACTTAAATGGAGCAAACAATTTAAACACAAAATTGGCAGTTTTACATCTGGTTTAAAACGTTTAATCGATTTTCTTTTAGTGTAGATTTTGGTACTGTTTTGGGCATCTTATAAATCTTCTACAGACAGAAAACTATCCGATATATATTATTTTCTTTTAAAGACGTTATTGGGTCTCTATGCTCTATGAAGAAGGCCTTAGCATAAAGACCAAAACGTTGCTAAAAGAAAAAAAAAACATAAGGTAGTTTCCCGTCCAGAGGAGATTCCTAAGTTTAATTTATAGTTTCAATTTCCATTATTTTTTGATTGATTTTCTAGCCTCAATGTTCTAAAGACAAATAATTTTACCATTTAAAAAGTTAAATCATTTTAAGATCTTCATAAACAAAACCATTTCGTCATGTTCGAATAGGCTACGTAAAACTAAAATTAGCAAAACAAAAAAAAACGATAGTAACTTCCATGCCATATGTGATCCGTGCCTTACGTACCAACGGTTTGTACTGATCACATCAGAAGCATGAACGTTTGAATATAGTAATGGAATTGGCAAACCAGCGGGAATGACGTCAATGACGAATTAGCGTTCATAAATGTAATCTAATCATAACAGAACGGAAATAACACAATTTAACAGTCCAGGAACCACCTTACTAAACCGATTGATATAAAAATGTATGATCTAGAATATCCACTGCAAATAGTAATTCTTTGTTTTTGGTACATAAGAAAATCAAAACGTTTTATCAGAAAAAAAAAGAAGTTTGCAATATAGGACTCTTTGAGCACAGCATTTCGAAAAAGAGTCGAAATTCAAGATAAATATCAGTAGCATGTTCATAAACCAATCGTCATATTTAATTTGATAGTTTTAGAGAGAGAACTGATGAAAGTTCTGTCAGTTTATTGCCTTCATTCAGTTGGAACAAACGCATGATCTGTGTTCTTAATATGAATCAACACTTTTGTATATATTTTTTTTCTTTTCTGGCTGATGTACTTTGCTCTAATATTATTTTTCAAACCAGCAACAATATTTTTGTAGTATGTTCCCTCTTCCTTGGGCCGGGCATGGTCTAGTGCTGTGTTTTGAATCTAAGGGTTTGCGATTCGCGTCCCTTAACCGTAATCTGCTGGTCGCGGATTCGAATCCCCGCCACACCAAACATGGGGGCGTATTAATATGACGGTCAATCCCACTATTCGTTGGTAAAAGAGTAGGCCAAGAGTTGGCGGTTGGTGGTGATGACTAGCTCTCTTCCCTCTAGTCTTACACTACTATATTAGAGACGGCTAGCGCAGATAGCCCTCGTGTAGCTTTGCGCGAAATTCAAAACAAACAAACAAACCCTTAACCGTACCAGAATTCGCACTTTGGGGTCGTGTATGTATTATGAAAGTGACGGTCACCCCCCCCCCCCCTATTCGAATAGAGTAGCCTACGTGTTGACGGTGGGTACTGTTGACTAAGTGCCTAAAGCATATTAGTTCAAAACGAAGAACGACTAGTACAGTTATCTCGTATAGCTTTGTGCGAATATCCAGGACAGACAAACAAACCCTCTTACACCACAATTTTCTCTCATTTTCATTACGCTATAGTGCTTTTTAAACCTTACAAGCATAAAATACCCACAATTAGCTGTGGGGTTCAAAGGACCACACTTTATGATTCACAGAGACCTCAATGTATCGATTAAGCTCATCCATTATTCATAATTACTTTTATAGCTACCTCAAGAGTGGTCCGTACCCAGAAATAACCACCCATTAGGACATTCACCCGTGGTACCTGAGCCACGTTTGGTGCAGTTAGTTTGTGAGTGGGGGTATGAATATCATTTCAAACAGAGTGACAACGAAGTCTGGAGAACTAGGAATACAAAATTAGATATCAGATTCGGGTTCAGTGACCCTGAAAACCTAATCCTACACCCGATCATGCCTGGGCGACCTTCTGGGCGCGTTTTAGCACCGTTCATACCCCCTTAGTAGGGGGATCACGCCATATTGATAAATGACACCCTCCATCGGAATCACCCCGAATTCGCCTGCCATATTTGATCATGCTACTTTTACAACTAAGAGAGGAGTTCGCTGTCAGACAATCACACAATATGGATTGATATAGGAGATAGGGTTTTGATGGTATAATGATGTAATTAAAGCCATGGGATTCTTTTAGTCAGTTTAACACAATTCGAACACATTTGAGAAGATTCTGGTTTATTTTGGACACTGACAGTATATGATGCTGATTGTGAAAATTAATAAGTATTTGTTGACAATCATTAATAATGTTCGAAGTTTACATTTCACGCCGTAAAAATAATGTTGAACTTTTAGACATTATTATGTTACCCCTGGTTAGTACTTGGAAGGGTAACCATCTGGGAATACCAGATGATGATGGCACTATTACTTTCGTACCCCCCCCCCCTCCCAGTGGCACAGCGGTATATCTGCGGACTTGTAGCGCTAGAAACCGGGTTTCGATACCTGTGGTGGGCAGAGCACAGATAGCCCTTTGTGTAGTTTTGTGCTTAATAACAAACAAACAAACATTAATCAAATACCTTTTCTCTTTACAGCTAATAAACACGATTGCTGTTTAACATCAATTCAGAATGTGAATGAACATGTTCTTGCACGTAACGTCCGATTTTTAAAAATCTGTATTAAACATTTAGAAAGAGAAAACACTAATTTTTACGAAATAAACACTTAGTGTATTTTGGTAAAAACTTTTGAGTTTATTTATAACAAAGTTAAACATTACGTGTCATTTACTTTTATCAACCTGCTGACATGCTTGGGTAATAAACACTAATATGTTTACAGGACGGTTACAGTTTTAAAACACATGGACATGATTACCAAATTTCATCTAAACATCATTGTTTAAAAATCAAACCTTTTTTCCAGATTTAAAAGTATGTTTGGTGTGAAAGCATGCGTTAAGAATGCTGTAGAAAGAATGTAGTTAATTATTAAGAAACTCACGTTAGCTTCAATCCATTTATTTGTCTTTACAAAGAACAAAAAACACACTTTATGTAAGGTTATGTCATATGAAAATGTTGTACAAGTTAAAATCCTTGTCAGAGTTCTTGAGCAAGGTTCATATAGCTATAATTAAAAATGTGTCGTGTATACGCACTCATAAGTATATAAATGAACATACACAGAAAAAAAACGATATATATAAAAGTAATCCATTTCTTCTACTTTTCTCAGATGTTGTTTTTAGCATTTTTGTAGGGGGTTGAGGGAGGGTTCAGAGCAAGCATTTTTGTAGGGGTGGAGGGAGGGTTCAGAGCAAGCATTTTTACAAGTTCTCGATTAGGCCCCAGTTATAACTCAAAACTAAAGCCTTGAGTCTCTGATAGCACAATAAGACGTTTAGTATCCCAGAATATCTTCTGAATTTTGGACGTGTGAGACATTTTCAATTAGACCATGACTTCATTTGATGTTAGGTCGTTAAATGTTACTCTATATCATTATACTCGGTGTTCCTACGTCTGTGAGTTGTTTCAAAAGTTGCATGGACATACGTCAAACATTTGCCGACTCCACCCAATCTGAGATTAAAGTTGTCCACAGGATCCGATCCAGAAAAAGAGTGGTAAACCAACTACTCTCCTGAAGACAACCACCACCTCCGAGGTATCTATTGATTACATTCTGTCTCACGGTTGCTTTTATTATTTTTTATATCCTACCCTTCTGAGCTGAACGACCCCACGGGCAAGCGATTCAACTCAGGACGACCCACCAATTAGCAGTTAACCCACAAACCAATAACCACTCAGACGTCACTAAGACTAGGCATACGCAAAAAAAAAAAAAAAAGTAACGTCAGCCGATCACCCACGAAAAGAAAAGCCAGCGCATTCAAACATCAACCAGAACACACAACTAAGTCCTGTTTTTCTCCATTACAGACTACCTCGCCTCTACAGCCTTTTCTCCATTGCAGATCTATTAGGGTACGGCCCAGGCATTCTATTTCAGCACCCATGCCGTGAAAATGGGTTTCGCGGGGCACTCCTCCTCCCCCCTCCCTCCATAGCCAATTACGGGCATTGGATTTATTGATCCCAGCCCAGGCATAGGATTTACAGGTCCAAGCCTTTCATCCCAAGGAGCCGTATTTTAATTTGCAATTATAATCAAGTCGAGTGGTATCATTCAAATACCACAATACCCATGGCTTTCCCCGACTTCTTGTGGTGGCTTCATCCATGCTAGTTACATCTTAGCGCCCTAAAACACTTGATATGACCATCTTAAATTAATGTAAGCCTGTCTTTGTTGTGTTTTTTCTTCAAGTTGCCTTAATTACCCTTAATCACGAGGGGGGGTGAAAAGAGATCCGAAGATCGCTGAAAATCCCTGGTTTTAACTGATAAACGCATATAATCTCGTTCACATCGAGGACAGTTATGAATACAGAAAACATGTGATCGTTTTAGAACAGGTATTCTGACCTAATCTCTAAAAAAAAAAAAAAAAAACTCAGAAACAGAACTTTTCATTTAGTATATTGATTACCATTATAAAGCATAAAGATCAACAGGACCGTTTTATCCACTGGGAAAAAGGGGCAGTTGCCTGGGGCCCACCGCGCGTTGCGAGTATAATGATAAGTAATAAAATATGAAGTGTATAATAAAATAATAATAAGAAATACTTTTTTTAAATATATATATATTATTTTTTTAATTTTATTATTTTTCACCACTAATAGATTTAGTTTATCCAATTGTATGGTATTTTCTTAAAAGCAAGGGAGGGGAAGATACTATCTTATACTTCACTCAGGGTCCCACCAGTGCCTTAACTGGGGAGCCTCGAGTGAAGTATGAATTGGGGATGAATAAATACAAATAAGACGTAACGTAAGGGAATATTAATACTAAGATGGAGGTTAACATTACCGAAACATGTTGACCATGATAAAGATCTTACCTCTGTTTTTAAGGCCTCGCTAGGATTAGCTAACTCGGATTCAGAGACGCTAGGGCTAATCCTTCCTCCTGATACGGAGCACTGCATATGCTAAAAATATGTTGTATAATTATTGAATATGTTTACTCTCAATAATTCATTAACATTTCGTTATTAACAATTTTGAGAAGGTGATCACGATGGTATACCACATTACGTACTTGACTTTTGAGTGGGACATTACGATGGTATACCACATTACGTACTTGACTTTTGAGTGGGACATTACGATGGTATACCACATTACGTACTTGACTTTTGAGTGGGACATTACGATGGTATACCACATTACGTACTTGACTTTTGAGTGGGACATTACGATGGTATACCACATTACGTACTTGACTTTTGAGTAGAACATTACGATAGTTTACCACATTACATACTTGACTTTTGAGTAGAACATTACGATAGTTTACCACATTACATACTTGACTTTTGAGTAGAACATGTAACAAATTTATTATTATATATTTATTTTAATAGCAACGTTTGTTTAGATTAAATTTATATTTAGAAACATACACAGCTTATACTGTTAAATATGTATTGCGAAATTCCCGCCTATTCTCCAAAGTTGTAGAAGATTCTCGAGAGTAAGAATCAACAATACATGTATGTACGTAAACGCTTAAATTTGTAATGTTACGTAATATACATTTTCTAGAAAGCCTCCACACGCCTATAAATATAACCAGCGCGACGCGCCAAAAGGGAGTATCTATTATTAGTTCGCTACAAACTTTGGAAACTATAACTGTGATTATTATAACGCTTCGGAAAACTTCAGATATTTGACCAGGAACCTTTACAAAGTTCCAACATTACAAATCATTTAACTTCAGTG